GCACACACATCCCACAAAGAGCTACACCAAGTCTGTCCACCTCAGGTAATTGGGAGGCTGACTCACTGAACTAGATAGGACACCTTAGCACACAAAGCCACCCTACCAACTCAGGGAAGATGTGAAAATGCTAAGACAAGGAAATAGATCATAAACAAAAGAAATGGAGGAAAAGAAGAGACTGGATATAGAGTTCAAAACCACGCTTATAAGGTTTTTCAAGAATTTCCTAGAAAAGGTCGGTAAGACCTATGAGGAGATGAAAAGGGATCAACAAGAACTAATAAGGGATCAACAAGAACTAATAAGGCATCAACAAGAAATAAAGAATACTTTGTCTGAAATAAAAAGTATTATAGAGTCCTAAAAACAAAATGAAAGATCACAAGAATCAAGTCAAAGATTTGGAGCATAAAGAGCCAGAAGACACTCCTCCACAGAAGCAAGAAGACAAGAGAATCCAGAAAGTTGAAGATAATGTAAGAAGCCTCTGGGACAATTTCAAGCGAACCAACATCAGAATTATGGGGGTCCCAGAAGATGAGAGAGAGCAAGATATCGAAAACATACTGAAAGAAATAGTGACAGAAAACTTCCCCCACCTGGTGAAAGAATTAGACTTACAAGTTCAGGAAGCGCACAGAACTCCAAACAAAAGGAATCCAAAGAGGATCACACCAAGACACATCATAATTAAAATTCCAAGAGCAAAAGACAAAGAGAGAATATTAAAAGCAGCAAGAGCAAAGCAGGTAGTTACCTATAAAGGAACACCTATACGATTGTCAGCTGATTTCTCAACAGAAACCATGCAGGCCAGACGGGAATGGCAAGAAATATTCAAGGTGACAAATAGCAAGAACCTACAGCCAAAAATAATCTACCCAGCAAAGCTATCACTCAGAATTGAAGGCCAGATAAAGAACTTCACTAATAAAAAAAAAGCTAAAGGAGTTCATCACCACCAAACCAGAATTATATGAATTGCTGAAGGGGGTTCTTTCGGAAGAGAAAGTAAATAAAGGTAAAAACTATGAACAACAAATACGTAACTATCAACAAGTGAATCTAAAAACCAAGGGAATTAAAAAAAAAAAAATCTGATGAACAATATTAACTGGTGAATATAATAGAATCAGAGGTATGGAAGGGGAGTGGACTGATGTTCCTCGGGGAAAAGGGGAGAGGGCGGAGTGGGAAGAGACTGAACATAAACTGTGCACCTATGGATAAGGACAATGGGGGGTGGGGAAAGGGCAGTGGGTGGGGTGGGAACCTGGTGGAGGGGAGCAATGGGGGGGGAGAATGAGGAAAATTTGTAATAATATGAACAATAAAGATTTATTTAAAAAAAAAATATATCCCAAGAAAATTGAAACACCAATCAGAAAGGATATTGAACCCCTATGTTCATAGCAGCACTACTTATAATAGATAAAATTTTAAAACAGCCTAAATCCCCATCTACAGATGAGTGGATTAGAAAACAATGGTACATCTATACAACAGAATACTACACTGCTATATAAAAGAAGGAATTCTTACAATTTGTAGGAGCATGGATGGAACTGGAGAGCATTATACTAAGTGAAATAAGCCAGTCAGAGAAAGATAAATATCACATGACCTCACTCATTTATGGATAATAAAAAACGTTATAACCTGATGAACCAAAAATATAGATACAGTGGCAGAGAAGCACCAAATAGACTGTCAAATTACTGTGGGAAGGCTGGGGAGTATTGGAGGGGGTGGGGGTAAGAGATCAACCGAAGGACTTGTAAGTTTACGTATAAGCATAACCAATGGACATAAGACACTGGGGTGGTGGAGTGAGGGCATGTGCTGAGGTGTAGGGGACACCGGGGGAAGGTCAGTGGGGGAAAAAAGGAGATATATGTATTATTATTTGTAATACTATAAACAATAAAATAAAATTTTTCAAAATTAAATATAGATGTGAAATAAAAAGCTTCCAAGGCAACAAAAATGTTAAAGTAGTATATCACCATCTAACCAACCCTGAAAGGAATGCTAAAAGGACTGCTGTAATAAGAAGAAATAGAGAAAAAAACAGAGAGAAAAATAATTAAAATGGTAAGAAATAAGTACCTATCAATAACTTTAAATGTAAATGGCTTAAATGGTCCAATCAAAAGATACAGGGTGGCTCAATGGATATAAAAATATGACCCTTATATGCTTTCTATAAGAGACCCACCTCAAAATAAAAGATGCATGCAGAAAGAGAATGCATAGATGGAAAAAAAATTTCCATGCCAAAAAAAAAGCTGACAAAATGGACTTCAAAATAAAGGCCAGCATAAGAAATACTACAAATCACTACTTTAATACTAAAAGAATTGAGATAACAAGAGGATATCACTCTGGTAAACATATATGCACTCAAAAGAGGAGAACCCAAATATATTTCTTAAAAAAAAAAACTTCTAGGGGAAATTAAGGGAGAGATCAGTCATATAGTCAGAGTAGGGGATTTTAATACTCTGTTGAATTCACTGGGTAGATAATGTAGAATTCAGTGTTTCCCAAAGTGTGGTACGCATACCCCCAGGGGTACGGGAAGAGTTTGGTGGGGGTACGTGTTGCACCGGAGTTTGGTGGGGATATGCACTGCACCGTGCTTAGCTGCGCCTAATTCTACGTTCTCACGAGTACGAGGGGTACTCAGCGTTACCAAAATTATAGAAGGGGTACACATATGTCAAAAGTTTGGGAAACACTGTTTCTTTAAAAGTTAACAAGGAAAGGTGACTCTAAAGGACATACTGGATCAGATAGATTTGACATTTATAAAACATTTTCACCCCAAAGCTGCAGAATAAACATTCTCCTCAAGTACACATGGGTTATTCTTAAAGGCAGACCACAGGTTAGGACACAAAACAAGCCTCTACAGGAGCTGGTACAATGGTTGAGTGTCAACCTATGAATTAGGAGGTCTGAGTTCAATTTCCGGTCAGGGTATATTCCCTGTTTTCTGACTTGATCTTCAGTAGCAGGAGGCAGCTGATTGATGATTCTCTCTCATCATTGATGTTTCTATCTTTATCTCCCTCTCCCTCTCTGAAATCAATAAAAATATATATTTTAAAAATAAAAAAGTACTTATACAGTTCAATAAAAGATAAACAATCCAAGTAAAAAATGCATTAGACCTAAATACACATTTCTCTAAAGAAGACATACATCTCCTAGGAAAAGGAAACTAAGGAGAAAATAAATGGGAATACATCAAAATAAAAAGCCTCTGCACAGCGAAAGAAACCATCAATAAAATGACAAGAGAGCTCACTGTATGGGAGAACATATTTGGCCATGATACATCTAATAAAGGACTAATATCCAAAATATTTAAGAAACTCATACATCTTAACAAAAGGACAAATAATCCAATTTAAATATGGGCAAAGGATCTAAATAGGTACTACTCCAAAGCAGAAACAGATGTGAAGAGACGTATAAAAAAATGCTCAGTAACTGTTCATCCAAGAGATATAAAACAACGAGGTATCACCTCACACCTCTCACAAAGGCTACCATAAGAAAATCAACAAGTGATAAGTGCTGGCAAGATGTGGAGAGAAGGGAACCTTAGTACACTGCTGGTGGGAATGTAGACTGATGCGTCCATTATGGAAAACAGTGTGGACTTTCCTCAAAATATTAAATATGGATATGCCATTTGACCCAGTGATTCCACTTGTAGGAATATATCCTAAAAAACCCAAACACCAATCAGAAAGAATGTATGGCCTGGCCAGCATTAAATATGGATATGCCATTTGACCCAGTGATTCCACTTGTAGGAATATATCCTAAAAAACCCAAACACCAATCAGAAAGAATGTATGGCCTGGCCAGCATTAAATATGGATATGCCATTTGACCCAGTGATTCCACTTGTAGGAATATATCCTAAAAAACCCAAACACCAATCAGAAAGAATGTATGGCCTGGCCAGCATTAAATATGGATATGCCATTTGACCCAGTGATTCCACTTGTAGGAATATATCCTAAAAAACCCAAACACCAATCAGAAAGAATGTATGGCCTGGCCAGCATGGCTCAGTGATGGACAATAAACCCTGGAGAAACACTACCATTTGACAAGCTATAAGGACATATATAAGACTTAATATTATAAAAATGTCAATTTTCCCAACTCCTATCTAATAAAGAGGGATTACGCTACTTGACCCTCACACTACCGCAAAGAGCCAGTTGTGACACCCTGCTAATTTGCAACTCTCACTGGCAGGTATAAATTAGTACTTTTTTTGGAGAACAGTTTGGCAATATCTGCCTCTAATAATAAAAGGGTAATATGCTAATCAGACCAGACATCTTCCAGATGTCATCTGTCATCCTTCCTGACAAAGCCAGGCCCTGAAGGAAGCCAGCCTGGGCCCGGGTGCCTGCTGGCTGCCAGAGGAGGGAAGCCCAGGTCCCGAAGGGAAGCTGGTGCTGCCAGCCCGAGTCCCGGTGCCACAGGGAAACAGTGCCAGCGGCCAGTGGAAGGAATATCCTTCCACTCTTGCATGAATTTTCATGCATTGGGACTCTAGTATAGAATAAAATATTTATACTTCATATCCCATGTTCCCAAGGAAAAGGTTAATTGGAAAATGCTGGGGAAAGAGTTTAAGCCTCTCTAAGCACCCCCTTATACGACTTTCTTCCCCATGGTAGAAATATTTTGTGCAAATGGTGATATCCATTAAGACAATTATACTTTTTCTGCTGAAGTTGCTTGCTCCTGAGAAATGATTCTCATTTCTATAACACACTATTGTTCACACCATGTAGGGGAAAAGCACTGTAGGAAAATCTCCATATCATACTCGGATTCATCAATTGGCTCCTATTTTGTGCTCCCTCTTTTATGACACACCATTTCAAACAACTATCCCTTCCAAGTATACATTCATATATGGATAATTTATATATTTTGAACACCCCATAACATTAGTTTACCTGTTCCTGCTGGATTAGGAGTATATGGAGGTGGAGGGGGTACGCCAGGAGCTATGACATTGGCTAATGGTACTAGACCTGCATTGTTATAAGCACCTAAAATAAAAAACATAATAGAAAAATATGTAATTTGTTATCATTTTGTGGCCAGGAGTTCAACTAGGTACATTAATGCGTTTATCTAATTTATTTTTAAAACTACAATATAATAGAATTGCACTGTATGTGAAAGTTGGTAATGGAGTAGATGAAAATAGATCAAATAAGATAATTAGAGGTTCTTATTCCAACACTGCATGCTAAGCCCAGGCATAAGCTCACTAAATGGCATGGCAGGTAGAACCTGCCATACCTAAATTATTATAAGTACAATAAGGATGCCTTTCAATACCTACCAATTATCAAAAAGAGATTCAGGATGATTTACCAAAGAGAAAACCCATGATAATAAATAAAGTTGAAAAATAATCTATAGTTCATTTAGCAAAAGGAAAATATCCTAAATAAATTGTCTGCTGCATTGTTGTAGACCAAGACACTAGTTAAGCTGACTGTGGGTAAGTTAACAAATCACAGAACATTTTATAGGTGCTTGAGATTTCCCAAGTACATATACCAACACTTACTTTTAATTTAATAAGAGCAAAATGAAAAAGTGTAAAACATGAAAGAACTCCTTACTTGGTGCAATAGTTGCATGTGGCCGGCATGGAGGTATTGGATAAGGAACGGGTTTATGTGGATTGTATGTTGAAGGAGGCTAAATGAGGGGGTAAAGTACAACAGTTAGAAATAAATCAACTAAGCACTCTACTGACAAAACAAAATGTAACTTGTTTCAAAATATTTAGTCATAAGAAGCTAAAAATGCCCAGCAAAGCTAATGCTATTGGACCAGCACATGGCACAAACAAGGAAAATCTATTTGCTTTAAAACATGTAGTTCCTGCCGAAACCGGTTTGGCTCAGTGGCTAGAGCGTAGGCCTGCGGACTGAAAGGTCCCAGGTTCGATTCCGGTCTAGGGCATGTACATTGGTTGCAGGCACATTCTCAGTAGAGGGTGTGCAAGAGGCAGCTGACTGATGAATCTCCCTCATTGATGTTTCTAACTCTCTATTCCTCTCTCTTCCTCTCTCTGTAAGAAATCAATAAAATATATATATATAACATGTGGTTCCTATTAAATTCCAAAGGTAGACCCTGACCAAGATTGCCACAGAGGTATTTATTTTTTATTTCAGCATCAAATCATCTCCAGTGAAGGGTCAGAACTTATCCCAAACAGCCAATTTCTCTCTGATCTGCCTAATGTAATTCAAGAATTCCTACCTCTTCCTATGTAACAAAAGAAATCCACTAGCTTTTGGAATTAAAGCTACCCAAGAACCTTCAAAAATCCTACAAACTTATTAGGAATGCATTCATCTTACCCTCTTTTCCCCTTTTGAAAATAAAAAACAAAGAACAGTTTTCTTTAGCATTCAACATGCTGCCAAATATAGCAGAATGTAGCCTGGAATTATGAATTCAGTATTTTAGTCTTTTTTTTTTTTTTTTTTTGCCTTTTGAAATCCACAAATCTGTTATCTTTGATAGAACTTATATAAATAATAAAGAACTTAAAAGAACTGGTTTCTAGAGAAGCAGCGGTATCGCAAAAACTAAGCCAAATACTGTACTTTTAGGAGAGAAGAGAGAGGAAAATATTCTTAATCTCCTTGCTGTCCTGTTTACTAACCCTAATACTAATTTGGCCAAACCATAATCTTAAAGTGAACTCTCCATGCTTTATACTTCCAAAGGAACAGCTAAATGTGGCAGGAGAAAAAAATAAAAACAAATTATGTGTTTTCACTTTAAAACAAAACAAATTCAAAAAGGCCCTTAGCACTATTAAGTTATACTTATATTGTCCTAGGCCATGCATTTTCTGAGGGAGTTTAGTATACTTTGAACTTCCCAACACACAAAAAAAGAATTTACACTTTAAACAGAAAACTACATCTAAGAGTTATGACCTGTTTCATCATCTATTCCCTAAACATACTGGTTTAGATGGTCCAAGAATCCGTGCAGCTATTCCTTTGCCTTCATTGGTACATTCTTCACCATCTTTTTTCAAAGGGGTTCCCTATAAAAAAGAAAAAGAATTGAGACTTTTAAGAAACCCTAAAACAAAAACAAAACAAAAACCCCTCACTATATAGGCCTATCTCATTTTATTGTATTTTTCCTTTATTGCACTTCACAGATATCACTTTTTTTTTTTTTACATCAAAGGCAAACCTCCACCAACAAAAAGATTAAGACTTGCTTTATTGTGGCACTCCCTTTATTAAAGTGGTCTGGAATTGAACCCACAATATCTCTGAGGAATGCCTGTATTATTGTGAAGAAAAGGACCTGGTAAGCATTTAAACACTTGGATTCCAGATTCAATCCTGCCCTGGATGCATGATCCTGATAAGTTCCTCATCACTCCTCTACCACAGAATTCTCAAAACAGGTACAGGGGTCCTCAGAAGTACACACATAATAAGAGAACAGGATAAAGCACGCTTTAATTATTTTCCCTCCCAGATGCAATCAGAAATAGACCTACATGCTATAATATATGTAAGAATCAAAGAGTACCTGTAATTACAGTTGAAACATAATGACAAAAAAATGGTGTTCTCTATAAGCATTAAGCATGCTAGTTTATATTAAGCAAGCACAAATAAGACCTCACTCAAGGCTGCTATAATTAACAGACCAGAATAAGTTGACTATTACACTGTGTCACCCTAATAGTGTGTGTCCCTAAATGGCTGGAAGCCAACTTCAAAGATGGTGCCAGTGATCCTCACCTCCAACATGCTGTGTTCAGTCCCCTTCCAGAATGAATAGGGAAACCTATGCAACACAACAGGATATTCCAGAAATGATGGCATTTGACTTCCAAGACTAAGTCATACAGACAACACAGATTCCACTTATCTTCTCCTAGATGATTGGCTCTGGTGGAAGTCAGCCACCATGTCATGAGGTACTCAACCAGCACTGTGGAAAAGTCCTTATGATTGAGAACAAAGACTTCTTGCCAACAACCTACACTAACTTGCCAGGCATGTAAGTGAGCCACTTTGGAAGTATAGTATGGAGCTCCAATTTAGCCTCCAGATAACTGCAGCCTCATGAGAATCCCTGAGCCATGATCAAACTAAGCCATTCCCAGATCCTGATGCATAGCACCTACATGTTATGGTAAATGTTTTCTGTTTTAATCCACTAAGTTTTAGGTTTATTATAACACTACAATAATAAACACCATTCTTTGAAACAACTTACAAAAAAACTTAGAAACACTGGATGATATAAAAAACAGTTTCTTTCTTGTCAGACTTCTCAGAGGCTTTATTATACAATAGGATTTTCCAGGAAAAAAAATATTGCATGTAGTTTTGCAAACATACTTAACTGTGAAACTGTCTGAGGAATACTGAGAGATGCTCTTTTACTAAATGTAAATAAGTGCTTTTAAAATACTTGAAAAAACAAAACAAAGCAAAATCATCATCTTTGCTATTTGGCGTGTTCTGTACATTTTACAAAAATAATGTAGTTGATATATCAACTTTCAATATATGAATTAAGTTGCTGACATAACAAAATTCCTTTTCCCTGTAGAAGCGTCATCAACTTACATATTCTTTAAATATCATAACTATGCTATATTTCATATTTAGTCACAAAAAGTTTCAGATATGGCTATAAAAGTATGCTTACTGGGAAAATTCCATATATGCGACTAGGTTTTCCTTTGGGATATGGATTTCCTGGGATTGTACCACAGGAAGATATCATAGCATGAGGAGCTTTGCAGCCTCCTTTGAAAGCCTGTAACATAAAAAAGAAGAGAGTGGTAAAAAAAAATACACACAAATAAACTTATAAAATTAAGTATCCTGGACATTGGAAAGCCCTGCTATAAAACATGAATTAAGAAACAGCATCCCATTCAATCTGTTCTTATATCAGTCAGCAGTTATTAATGATAAACATTAATTAATAAGTAAATTTATAAGTAAAAATCACTTATTAAAAATTAATAAGTAAAAATCACTTTATTTAAATGGAGTTATTAAAACGGTAACAAAGTTTTTAATGTCACAACTAAGATTCAAAGATATCTTCACAATGCCTTTTGTAAACTGTGTGCAAAAAAAATGTCCATTTACTATTGAATATGTTCTATTTTTCCAATGACCAAGAAATAACATTGTCCAACTCTATAATCACCAACCTCATATTACAGACAAAGCACGGAAATCACTTAGATGAAAGAAACATGGTTTCCATTCTGATGAAGTTTATAATTTAAAGGAGGAAACAGAAACAAATAGCATGGGGTATGGAGTTTCTAAAGAGCTGTAATGTTTAAAAAAAAAAAAAAAAAAAAGCAGTGTTCAATTTAATGTTACATAATTTTGATATATATTGAGGGATGGGATTTTGGTCTGGTTTAATATTTTATCCATACCTTCTAAAACGATGCTTAACACATATTGAGTTATTGACCAATAAGTACTTATTAAGTATATGAAAAATACTATATTAGGTGACATACATTCCAATAAATTTATACTGTTATAGGAATAACGAGTTATTTACAAATAGTTTGATTTAAAAATATGACATTCTATACATTGTTGTAGAGATACATTAGTTGTATACATTGTGTGGCCATATTATTATGATCTCTCAACGCATAATAATCTGGCCACTCAGTGTATATCCTATATAATAAAGGGCTAATATGCAAATTGTCTCCTTGAATAGGAGTTCGACCAGCAGGTAGACCAGCCAACCACCCATGTCTTCTCTCCCTGGCCAGGCTGGCTGGACCTCACCCATGCACTAGACCTCTAATACACACACATACACACATACACACACACACACACACACACACACACACACACACACACAGTGGCCAGATTATTATGCATTCAGAGATAATAATCTGGCCACTCAGCATAAATCCATTCACACATATTATCCTACCTAATAAAAGAGTAATATGCAAATTAACCACCACTCTGCTACACCCATAAGCCACACCCACAAGCCCTCAGCCAATCTGAGAGAGTATGCAAATTAACCCATCCAAGATGGCTGCGGCCACAGAGAACAGTTGAGAGGCTTGGGTTTCCCTGGCATTAGAGGAAGCCAAGTTTTCCACACACCCTGGCCGACCTAGGCCTCCACTCAAGGATACAAAGTTTCAATGATAGAAGATACATAAACCCAAACAGAAATGGCAGCAGCCCCGGAGCTAGACCAGGAGGCTAGGGTTGCCCCCAGCAATGGAAGACAAGATTTTGCACACCATGGCCTGCCAAGGTTTCTGCTTAAGGTTACAAAATTTCAATTATAGAAGATACATAAATCCTAACAGAAATGTCTGCTGCCAGGGAGCAAGCAGAATGTTTGGCTCCACTTCAGGAAACAAATTTCAACTGTAGAAGATAAATGAATTCCAGATACCAGGGCCTCCACTTGAGTCGCCAGGGGGTGTGGCTGGCCTGCAAACCACCACAGGCCCCTCGAACAAGCAGCCCCACTCACCAAGCGAACCCCCACCATGATCCGGAACACGCTTCAGGGGAAAACAACCAGAGCCCACTCATGCACCAGGCCTCCATCCTATCTAATAAAAAAGTAATATGCAGATTGACCATCACTCCAACACACAAAATGGCTGCCCCCATGTGGTCAAAGATCCTGCCCCTACGTGGACATAAGATGGCTACCACAAGATGGCCAGCAGGGGAGGACAGTTGAGGGTGATCAAGCCTGCAGGGAAGTACAGTTAGGGGTGACCAGGCTGGCAGAGGAGAGAAATTAGGGGGACCCAGGCCTGCAGGAGAGAGCAGTGGGAGAGACCAGGCCTGCAGGAGAGAGGGCAGATAGGGGTAACCAGGCCTGCAGGGGAGGGCAGTTGCGGGGGGGTGGGGGGACCCAGGCCTGTAGGGGAGGGAAGTTAGGGGCAAACAGGCTGACAGGGGAGCAGTTAGGCATCAATCAGGCTGGCACAGGAGTGGTTAGGGGTGATCAGGCTGGCAGGCAGAAGTGGTTAGGGGCAATCAGGAAGGCAGGCGAGCAGTTGGGAGCCAGCAGTCCTGGATTGTGAGTGATTCCAGATTGGAAAGGGTGCAGGATGGACTGAGAAACATCCCCAAGCACCCTGTGCATGAATTTTGTGCAGGGGGCCTCTAGTTAGCTATACAATCCAGCCTACTACTAATACCCCAACCCTAGAAATTATCTCAATTTGGCAATATTATGAGTAATTGCAGGAAAAATGCCCTTACATATTAATTTGTACTTTTCTATTTATTTCCACAGAATAAATTTCTAAACAGCATTTGTGGATTAAAAGATGTGAACATTTTAAAGGCTCTTCAAGTTTGCCTTCCAGAAACACTGTACATTGACCAGACAGACGATTCCACAGAACACTCAGAACTATTATTTCTGAGAAAGAAATGACATGATCAGAATGTTTTATTAGGAAAAAAAAAAAAACAAAACTGAAAATTATTGATACCTTAAAGAACTTAGCCAAGGAAACCAATGAAAAAATTATTAAAGAAATACAGGCTCGCAGAAAGGGAAGTCCTCATAACTTCTGGCTGTAAAAAACAGTGGGAATTATGGTTGAGTGAGAAGGAGGGCTGCTGGAGTCCCAGGCAGTTCCTCTTAAAGGGCTTGTACATGGACTTACTCCAACTCACACCCTCTGAGTTCTAGTGCCTGGGAAGCAGCTTGAAAGGAGCCAGAAACATATGAGGAACTGAGTTGTTTAGTATCAGGCCGAGAACTGAAGGGTCAGCTTTCTGCCAGGAAAAAAGTACTGACAGAGGCCACTGCTCCTTTTTCTGAAACATTCCCTCTCCACAAATAGAGCCAGCAGGTGGGCATCATATCTGAGTCTCCATCAACCTACCTAACACTGTCTGCCCAAACCTGGTGATTCCCTGAGACCCACCCCACCCAATTATGGGCCCATCCAAGACATTTCCAGTGGCTTTCCCATACCAATGGTCTCTCTTGCCTCATGCTTCAGACTTTACTAAAACTTCTCAAACAAGCAGCATCTGGCTTATGTGTATGCTATATCTCTTGCTAAGTGGCCCCAAGCCAAACACTAGTGGCTGCTGAACTTGGTTCTCCAATCCCAAGAGAAGTAACAGCCATCTGTGGATCACTGGGTAGCTTGAGCTAGATGGCCCAGGCAAGGCACATGTATTAACTGACCTTGCTCCTCACGAGAGGCCCAAAATTCAGTGCACCTGATGGAGAGCTTCATATCACACCAGATTACCACCCTACCATCTACACAAGGGACACACTCAGGTGCAGACTCCGGGAACACCAAAGCGCCAATGAAGCAAGTTCTGCTCTGTAGGATAAACTCCATTGTAGTCACAGAAGGTACTCGCAGCAAATTCCTTCTAGTGACACCAATAGCATTTATGGTTCCACTATAGCAATACAGTGCACACAGCATACACAGGGGTGCATCTGGAACACACAGCTCCTATGACTAGGGAGATTGGGCCAGGGCCATACAGGACAAGGTCACTCTATCAAGTCCAAGAGATGTAGCAGCTCTACCTAATACATAGAAACAAACGTAGGAAAGCAGACAAAATGTGGAGACAAATAGGTTCTAAATGAAAAAAATAGGAGAAATTTCCAAAATAAAAAATTTTCAAAATAGCCAAAACTGGTTTGGCTCAATGGTAGAGCATCAGTCTACGAACTGAAAGGTCCCAGGTTCGATTCCAGTCCAGGGCATGTACCTGGGTTGCGGGCACATCCCCAGTAGGGGGGGTGCAAGAGGCAGCTGGTTGATGTTTCTTATCGATGTTTCTAGCTCTCTCTCTCCCTCTCTGTAAAAAAAAATCAATAAAATATATATTAAAAAAAATTTTTTTTTTCAAAATAAGTGAAATGTAGGCAAGCAAATTACCAGATACATGGTTCAAAACAATGGTTATAAGGATGCTCAAGGAACATATTGAGTGAGCACTTCACAGAACTTATTGAAGTAGATACATTCTTTTAAAGATCAGAAAGAAGATAAAGATGTTTACTCTCACCATTTCTATTGAACTTGTACTGCAGGTTTAGCCAGGGTAATTAGGAAAAAATTATATATATCTTTGCAGATAACATGATATTGTATATAGAAAATCCTATATTGTATAAAGAAATTCTTTTTCAACAGGATTTTCAACATCATGAAAAAGGACATAGAAAGCAGTTAGAAATGAAGGCTATACTAATTGAAATAAAGAGCCGAAACAAGTTTGGCTCAGTGGTAGAGCATCGGTCTGCGGACTGAGGGGTCCCAGGTTCGATTCCGGTTGGGGGCATGTGCGTTGGTTGTGGGAACATCCCAGTAAGGGGTGTGCAGGAGGTAGCTGTCGATGTTTCTCTCTCATCGACATTTCTAGCTCTCTATCTGTCCCCCTTCCTCTCTGTAAAAAAAATCAATAAAATATATTGGGGGGGGGGGAGATATTTTATGAGGGGGGGACAAAAAATGGTGGCAGAATAGACAGACGTGTTCCGATCCTAGTCCAGGAGCAGATAGAAAGAGCGCCTGAGAGTCTCTCGGGGAGTGTTTGTTGGCAAGCTAGCAGATAGCAGAACTCTAAGAGAAGGTAGGGGAATGCTGAACATGGTTCCCTGACCAAGCGGCCCGCACTGCAACTGAGACCTCTCCTGGAGCTACAGACTCAGAGGAAAAACTACTAAAAAGTGGATCTTAGCTAAGCCTTGAAAAACCCACTCTAGAGACCACAAACAGCTACAAGGCCCCAATA